TGTCCATGCTTTTATCTTCAGTAGACTGGACTACCGTAATGGTGTCTTTACAGGTCTCACTAAAAAATCTATTAGAAAGCTGCAGCTGATTCAGAACGCTGCTGCTCGAGTCCTCACTAACACTAAGAAAGTGGATCACATCACTCCTGTTCTGAANTGAACCATCCAGATCTCTCAGGTCTTCAGGGACTGGTCAGCTTTCTGTCCCCAGAGTCAGAACTAAACATGGTAAAGCAGCATTCAGTTATTATGCTCCAAATATCTGGAACAAACTCCCAGAAACCTGCAGGTCCGCTGCAACTCTTACTACTTTTAAATCCAGGCTGAAGACTTTTCTTTTTGTCGCTGCTTTTAATTGAACTATTCATATCTTAGACTGCACTGTAACTTTTATCCATGTATTTTTTCTTTTAATGTTTATTTTATTAACTTTTCTTTTTAATGACTGATTTTAAATGCCATTTTCTTAATGTCTTTCATTTTTTGTAAAGCACTTTGAATTGCCTTGTGTTGAAAAGTGCTATATACTACATGTCCCACAATGCATTCTCAAATTTTACATTTTTCTCAGAATTCTTTTTTTCCCTCCAGAATTTGGCTTTTCTTTTTAAATAATTTTGTGACATTCTCACTGAAAAGACTTCTTCTTTCAGACGTAGTTAATTATGAAGTTATTATTACCCTAACCGAAAATAATCCAATGCAGAGGCAATAATGTTATATAATACGTTATTTTATATATATTAAATATATTAAATATATTTATATATGTATTTTTATATAGTCTTGAAGTTACAACCGGCCCTTTGAATGCAACCATAATGTTAATGTGGCCCACGATGAAATTTAGTTTGACACCCCTGCCCTAGAGCTACCCACCCTTTGTTACGAAAAAAAGGCTTCAGAGTCAGTTGTTAGACGGGAAACTGTAGGCAGACCACAATGTACAAATGAACAGACGACCTGATATTGATGCTTTGTGATACTATCTTGCATATTCCAGAATATTTATCTGTATTTAAATTTTTGACGCAGCCCACCGGGAGCGACATTGTTTTCCATTAAAGAAAAATGGTCACAGCAAATGTACACTTATATATTTATGTCAGATTTAAAGTCTTTTAGAGGTGTTTGCATTTTTGTGAACAAAGAGTATTTGACATAAAATGAACACAATTTGCTCCGTAGAAGGCACATCTTTTTAAATCTGCTTTTATTAGTAAAATCATGTGGGTTTTTTGGTTACAGGATGACGTTAACAAAAGGGGAAACTATTGATACAAATAAAAAAACTTTAAAATCACAAAAAAATGTAAAGCATCATGAGACAATTATAATGCCCTGATTAATAAAACACTCATTCAGAAATTAAGTACAAAGACATGTGCAGTACATGGTGACTTCTTCACATCCATAGCAGCAACCAGCAAAGCTTTTCTACTGACACTGCCCCTGGAACAGACTGACGGACATGGCCAGCCTTTGTGCCAGGATGCCCTCCAGAGTCTCTAAGGACATGCGCCTCACATCATAGCCCCTCTTCGAGGCTTTCGCCTTGACATTAATTGGCACAATCTCCTCCCCACTATTCGGGTCATTTCTCCCCACTGCAGCATGTGTGGGGAAAAAGGACTGCATATGGGCAGGAAGGTCAGATCTGTTTGATGGGCAGCAGTAGGCAGACCACATGTACTCAGGAACAGACACCCTGTTATTGATCCGCAGGGGTTCAGACTCATAAGGCAAGACTCCGGTGATCACATGCATCGACCCGTTGCAGTAGGTTTTGAATCTTTTTAACACTTCATTCTCCAGACCGTTCCACGAGCCACCGTTGGAGCCCGCTCGCTGAGGGACTACATTTGTCAGGGTGAAGGTGGCCTGGCGGTTTTCTTTTGTCTTCTGGTGCATGCTGGGATTGAGATGGCCCCTTGTGAAGTTTGAGTCCCTGTAGTCGTTGGACATCGCCTGGCTCTCAATCACATTCTGATCCAGGTAGGTAGCAAACTTGAAGGGTGTCATCTCTGAGCTGGCTCGGGAAAACACCAACTTAGAGATGGAGAGAGAAAGACATGTGACTTTCTAGAAGCTGCATTTTCTGGCTTTTTTAGTTCAATTTATTCATTTAGTTTGAAAAGTGAAACAGAACTTAGGCAACTCCATTTTCCTTTATTTGTCATCTCACAAGAGAAAAGATCAGCAATCTGTATTTAAAAATTGAAGATTGGCTGCTTCTTATAAGTTAAATATTAAAACTTGCGCCAGTCACACATTGACCATTAGGACAACTAAACAAACAGAAACACAGCGTATCCTGAAACAAACATACATTCTAATTAGCTTACATAAGAATGCCAACACTTTAATGAATTTCTGAAATCACAAGCTATTTATTAATGAATTTCTGAAATCACAAGCTATTTATATTTACACTCAACATTCACATGTGAGTTTCATGAACCAAATTAAGTTATGCTCTGTTGTAGAATAATAATTACCAAAGAGAAACCCAGCTACACTCTGCCCTTGTCAGGATATTAGTTCCTGCTGCTAATGTATATAATCAAAGTGTACAATGTATCTAAAACTAAAGACGCAAAACACAACAGTACTGCAACAAATCCTACCTTCACAATGGTTATAACGTTAAAAACGAGCTGTTGCTAAACTTTCAGCAGATTTAATTTGGGAGTTTGGTAAACTGAGTTGCATTATACAGAGAGGTGTTGTATTCAGTCCACCCTCACTGATGAAATATCAGTTATAATAATATAATAATTATAAAAATAACAAACGAGGCTGTATGAACTTAGCATTTCCAAACAAATCATACTAAATAGTTAACGCTATTTCTTCTCAATTAAGAAATTGGCTACTCTTGTACATTGCACACTGTTTTTTTTGCTTACCTGCGGCTCGTACTTCCAGGTATTATTGGGCCGTTTGCCATCTGCAAGACCGAGTCTGTACGCAGAGTACATCGGTGCACGACTCTGCCGATGATACAGGCTGGCAAAGTGGTACTGGTTCTTGTAACGCTGGCATATTGGCTGGTATCCTGCTGCATCAATACCCTTTGGTGGGGTTTTATTGTAGAAGAAATCAAGGCAATGGGAGAAGTCGTCACTGATCTCACCAAGGACCTGGCCACCCAACCAGCAGAGGAGAAGAAGCAGAGCTCCCGTGCAGAATTTCTTCTTTTGAGACATCCTGCTCAACAGATCAGTAGGTCAGCTGTACTTATGTCTTCAGGAAAGAGATGCAAGCAAACATGACACTTCAGACTTCTTCTCAGACAAAGCTTTAGATTGAAATAAAACCAATATTTTGAGTGTTCATTCAGCGCCTGAAGTATTTGCCTTCGAAGACTGTCTGAGGACTGAGGTAGTCTCATTTATACACTGAGTCAAGGAACCCTGTGATTGAGAGTGACTCCCCCCCCATCCTCATGTCAAACTTCCCCTGTAAACCAGCAGTCAGTCTGCCTTCTAAAAAACATGGCTCTGCAAACACTTGTTTTCATGAGCTGAGGTGGACAGCTTTGTCTTTCAGTCTGTAATCATTTGGTGGTTTGGACTGTTTATTGATTAGAACAGTGTATATCTTAGTAAGATATATTCCAGATTTATAACAGGGATTTTATTCGTTTTAATGTGGTAAACGCTACAGGAACTGACGATGCAGTTTATTGTTGCTGACTGTTCTAGACGTTGTTGATGTCTGGTAGACATCCCTTCCTGTCTCAAGTTTCCTCAAACTTTGTAAAAAGGTGAAACATCATGAGACTTCAATGTTTCCAGAAAATCACAAATGCCTTGCATAATGCAGAGCTACTTTATAAATTACAGTGTGATGCTTGAAGTACAAACAATTATTTTGATTCTTGCATGTGTAAGCTTTTTTGTTCTACACTGTCTCTCAGAGTTGTTTAATTCATGATGAGTCTGATATTATTACGCAAACACACTCACAATTCAGCAAGTTTCATTCTCTGTCTCAGTCCAGTTTCTGTCTGATATTTCTTCTCTCATCAACACTTTTCTCTTTAAGGGAACCAGAAATATTTCCTGGAATATATAATCATCCAAACAGTAGTGCTGTTTTTTCTCAACCAAAGGTCTTGCTCCTTTATTTCACTATGTGAGTAATCTGTTAGTGGGAACATTTACAGTATCTGTATTTCTGCTCAAATTAAAATATAAATATATGTTAACTGAAACCTTGGCATAGTTAAGGTAGGACCAGGATTAGAAACAGATACTACTGATTCTTATTTTGAGTATTTATACTAGCATAAGGACATTGATAGAGTGCCAATATGTCTCTTCATTTTTGTATGTGTTCTTAAAAAGACAAAACTATGAAATGTTGCTCCCTTCAATACACATTGACAAATGAATGGAGAATTTCTGGACATGTATTAATTCATAGCATAAAGCATCGGCAGGTAAAGATTATGAGCAGTGCCTGAACACTTAATCAAAAAGGAGTAGACACTGTTCAAATCTTTGTCCTTTCTTTGAATTGTGGTGGGTAGACTGTTCATTATGGCCATCTAGCGGGCACTCAGAGGAATAACACTCGGCAGCAGGCTGACTATCCCGGAAGCAGAAGCTAATAATGGTCAGGTCGTGGAACTTACTGTGAGTAATAATAACCCTGCATTTACAGTCACTGGGGATAAATTGCAACCTGTGGCTGACCTGGAACTACCACGTTTTCGGTTTCCACACAGAGGACAATTGCTGAGCCTTACATAAAACAGATATTAGCTTTCTGTTTTATACTGATGAGAAACAGAAAGTCCTCATACCAGATTGGTCTTCAGCATCTTAATATGGAACTTGTTGACCCTTTGCACGCACGAAGGCAAGACTGAAATAAAATACACTTAAGGAGTTAGTAAAAAAAAAAGCAATAAAAGATCCACCTCTGTTGTTCCAAGAAGAAGCAAAGATCTATGGTACTTACTGACGCTGTGTCATTCTTTGTTTTGTGTAAATTACTCACAGGCTACGGGGTGTGTTTCAAAACTTCTATTGGTTCGCTTACCTAATGAAATAAGTTGGAATACATCTTCACTCTGCCAAAGAAATGAGCCCTAAAGCTCTCTAATATTCTCTACTGCTACATGAAAGTTATGGTAATGAATGAGTATGAGAACGTTTAGATACCAACTTGAATGCAGTGACTGAGTTAGTCAATATGCTTTAGGTTTAGGCTAACTCAATAAGTGTCTAAGATGCAAGGTCAATAACTTTTACCTACTATTAGCATATCCATACGTTCGTATATATGTATATAATATAGAATAATAGATGATTTAGGCCTACTAACCTTTGTTGTTGGCCTAATAGAGAGAATCTCTACTCTTCAGTGACATTATAAAGGCTATTTCATTATCCTTTATTAATACACTTAATTCACTTAATTACTTAGACGCAGAAGTGGAAAGTAACTAAGTACATTTACTCAAATACTATACTTAAGTACAATGTTGAGGTACTTTTACTTTACTTGAGTATTACATTGTGTGCCACTTTATACTTCTATTCCACTACAATAAAAAGGGAATTCATGTACATTTTACTCCACTACATTTATTACAGCTTTAGCTACTTTAAAAAAAATGCATTTCTAAAAATTAAACAAGTGGATTAACTCTTTAAGTCAGAAAAGAGTCAAATTATTTCAATATTTTACAAAAAGTAAATCAGAACTTTGTTTGTCCATAAAAGTTAAATGCTATTATCTGTGTCTGTCACTTTGAAAAATATTATCTAGAAATGTCACATATAAAAATATAATTACACAAAGGCCATTTTTTCTGCACAATGATTAATCTTACGTGTTATACTTTAAGTACATTTAGCTGATAACATGTTTGTACTTTTACTTAAGTATAACATTTTGAATGCAGGACTTTTACTTGCAATTAAGTATTTTAAAAATAATGTATTGGTACTTCTACTCAAGTAAAGCAGCTTAACACTCATTCCACCACTGCTTGCTTGGATATATTTTAATAACGAAGTTTTTATTTTTTTAAAGGTTCTTAATACCAAGAATTTTTTTCTAGATTATGTGTGGGCAACTTTACCCAATCTGAAATATATTTTAAAGAGGAAAAGGGTTGATTCATGAGGTAAAGGTAACCTTTTGTCAATAGGAATATACTTTATAACAGCATTGTTTTGCTTGATAATAATACAACACTTTCAGGGTTAAAAATGAATAAATAAAAAGATAAAACATGTAAATAAAATCGAACAATGAAACAACATAACACAAAGAGACAACAGTACGTTAAAAGTCCTTCTGAAAGGTGAGTTTTGTTCACTGTCTTAATGTTTGAGGGGTCAAACTCAGTACAGTACTGAACATGAGTGTTTGTCGTTGTGGCTAACTCTTTCTAATAAAACCAAAACCAGTTTGTCTCCGGGCTAATGCAAACCGTACGCCCTGTCATGGAGCAGCTCCAGTAGGCTCTCAGCCTGTTGCTGCACGTCCTCCTCTCTTCCGTGATAACATGCTCTGCTGTCAGCCTCAGACCACTCCCTCTCAGTCTCGGAGGGAACGGAAGAGCAGTCAACTACTTTTCCTGTGCGGCTGTTTAAAGACTATGTTCACAGCAGAGAATGGCGGACGTCACAATTGAGGAGCTGCAGTGTGAGCTTACCTGCCCGGTGTGTCTGGAGCTGTTCAGGGACCCGGTCATCCTCGAGTGCGGACACCACTTCTGCCAGGTGTGCATCCTTCAGTGCTGGGAAGTCAAGGCCGACGAGTTGTCGAGTTGCCCAAAGTGTAGAAAGTCTAGCGGCGGGAGACTGCGACCCAACTCGCTGCTGTGCAACGTGGTGGACAGTGTGCGCAGAGCCCGGTGCATGGACACGGCCTCGGCGATAACCGGGTGGGACTCAGGGGGTCCTCTGGAGGAGCCGGAGGAGCGGGAGCCGGGGTCCAGCATGAGCAGCCTGGCCTCCTCCACCGGGCACTGGCCGCGCCTGGGTATGGATATGTGCGAGGAGCATGAGGAGAAGCTGAAGCTCTACTGTGAGGACGACCAGCTCCCCATCTGCCTGGTTTGCGGCATGTCCAGGGACCACAAGACCCACAATGTCATCCCCATTACAGAGGCCTTTGAAAACTACAAGGTACGTTCTGATTGGCTGAGTTAGACACGTTTTTTTTACCAATAGATTGAGTCTAGCTAGGCCTAAATTAGGGGATAATCTTACTTTAAAACCAATATTACAAACTTTCCTCTCTAAGATAAAGAACTTGGTGATCATTATTTGATCATGGTCATTGTTGATCACTAAACTTAAAGTATTTTAGTCTTTTAGGGAGTGCCATGCATGCTCCTCTGACACACCTCTCCTTGTTCTTGGAAAGAAACATATCTCAGGTTTGTCAAGCATTCCTGAATGCCAAAGGAAACCTAGTTTATAAGGATTGTATTTAATAAATGAACTCATTTGCTCTGGCTTTAGCAGATGTGGTGAAATGGCATTTATTGTTTTAAAGCAGGCTCCCTGTTTGCCTTGGCAGCCTTTGCTATTTACAGGAATTCAGCAGAACAGTGTGAGCTCCTTTTACGCCCCCTATGCTTTTAACCCGACAGCTGACCATCATCAGTTTGTTTGAAGAGTCTCCGAGAGGCCTCTCATGTTTCACCAAGACTGAATTCTCTACTTTGTTTGAATTTATGGCTCTCAGCGGTCTGTTGAGGACAGTGTGTACATCATATTACTCCCATTAAGGATGTTGTTGTTTTTCAGAGCAGATACACCAATTTAATCAACTTTTAAGTGCAATCCAGTTTAGCAACACCACCTCTGTTTGATGTTTAGCATGTGATTGTTTTGTGCTGCAGGGTAAGCTGTCGATCGCTCTGGAGAGGGTTGAGCTGCAGACAGAGGAGGCCACGCTCTTCCAAAGCCAGACCAATGAAAGGATCCTCCTCATTAAGGTATACAGATACATGTGTTTATTTGTTTGTGAAGCATTGGGAAACACCCTGGACATAATCCCAGCATATGCATACGTGTGTGTGTGTGTGTTTGCCTGTGAATTGAACCTGCATTTCTGGTCACCAAGAAACATTCCTCCACCTTTACCTGTCTGACAGCGAGACTGATTGATGACTAATCCTAACTATGACGGGCAATGACACAACAGGTTGTTACTCAGTGTGGTTTTTTCTCATGTTTTGCAAATGTAGAAGTTCCTCCTGAAATGACACGGGTGGTAAATAAACATTCATGCACATCATCCCGTTTGTCTTTCTCACAGTATCTTTTTTCACAAATGCGGCCCTCAGGTCTCTTATCTAAAAGTAGCGATACCACAAAGTAAAAATACAATTGATTTTTTTAAGTATATCGTATTTATTATCTGAATCTGCACAGTAACACAAATGTAATATTGTCAGATACATTTTGTGGAGTAAAATGTGCAATATTTGCTTCCAAAAGCAGTGAAGTAGAAGTGGCATAAAATGTAAATACTTAAGTAAAGTCCCAATACCTCAAACTTGTACATACATTCAGTACAGGTTAAATACTTACGTAACTTTCTACCACTGGTTGACACACAAACTACGACATGCACACACACAGTACAAGAACTATGTCGCACAACCTTACAGAAAGAGATAACAGCTGGCTGAATTTATGCTGTGACGCTTTATCCAGCACAGCAGCTCTTACCTCAAATAGTGGTCTGTTTGTGTGTCTGTGTGCGCTAGTGTGTGTTCAACCGAGAAATTAGTGTAGCATGTTTGCTTTGTTAAAGTGTTTTTTGCTGCTACACATATCTCTGCTCTAGGTTATTACACATTTGTCTCTATCCTGTCTGTCTGCTGGTCCCAGCATGTCTGTCTTACTGTCTTACTGTCTATCTGTTTGACACAGTTTATATGCACATTCACAGATTTTCACTTCTGTTTCTCTGCCGGTATGACAGGATGTGGGTCAACAAGTTTCAGAGGAAGTTTGGCAAGCTTTCTTTTCCGGACAATTTATCTTAGTCTGTGTCTGTGTCTGTACGTTTCTTATCATTTTTGCTTGTCTACCTATCAATCTTTTTCTCTATCTACCTGCGTCAGCAATAAAGGAAATATAGCTCTCCTTTACTTAGAAACGTAAAGGTCCTGCTTTGATTATATTGCTTGAAGGGGAACCTCACATCAACATCCGTTCACAGGTCGTATTACGGCATATGTGAAAAGTGTAAAGCTCCAGAAAGAACTGCAAAAAGTCAGATTAATATATTTTCAGACTAATGACGAAAAGCTACATTAGCTGCTAGCATAACACCTACATCTCAGATCAAGCTGCATTATGGGTCATTTAAGTGGAACGTTTTCACAAAAAATTTGAATGTTTGAAATTAAAAAGACCATATTTTTGTTCTGCTGTGTAAAATGTCATCCCACTTTAAAAAAAAAAAACTGTCTTTCTTTGTGTGTGAAAATGATGGCAATGCTAAATTGGTTAATTCTGATAAAATAAACTTTTAAATATTAAAAGCAAGCAGGTATATCAGAAGCAACACGGCTTTTGACCTTTTTTTGGTTTATTTTAGATGTTTAAAATGTCAGATCACTTTGGCCTTGTGTTGAAACATATATTTACAGTCTATGGTTAAAACTGAAACACTACAACTCCTCTTCCATGTTCTAGCTAATGGGGTCCTCTGTGTTTTAGGAGCGAGCAGGAGATCTGGAGGAGATGGTCACCGCAGAGTTTGGCCGTCTGAGGGAGTTCCTGCTTGAGGAGGAGGAGCGCATAAAGGTGAAACTTCAGTGGCAAAAAGAGCAGAAACTCAAGCAGCTGGAGGAGGCGCTCACTGAGACCACAGAGCAAATCAGCCAAATGGAAAATATAGCCGACGAGCTTCGCCTCAAACTGACAGAAGAGGAAAACCCTGAGCAACTCAAGGTATGAGAGAAAAGTAATATGATGCTCATGATGCTTGTAGAGCACATTTATTTTACCCCATATTATTGGAAATACCAAAGAATGTTGATATTCTATTCTAGATATGCAGTTTTAGATATTATCTGCATGTTACAGTAAAGAGTGAGGTATTTTGTAATCATAGGCTTGTTTTGATCTGCTCTATTTCAGGGAATCAAAGACTTCATTGGAGGGTGAGTATTATCACAATTGATCATTATCGCTAATGTCTTAGTCACTTATTCATTTCTAGATAATCTCCCGGTCTTCTTGTACTTGACTGTTGCCCTAAATCTAAAGTCACAATGGTGTATTGTTTTGTAACTATCTTTGAGTGTTGCTGAAACAGGATGTTGGGGCATTGTTGTGGTTTATCATGTTATCTTACATACATATCTTTGCCAAACATTGTCACGCCAACTAGTGACCACTAGGTAGCAGTCTTACCATTTGCCAGTGTTTTGTTGACATTTCTTCTTAAATAGGTGTAAGAATGCAGATACAATGTAATTATACGACTCAAGTCCACACTGCTTGCTGTACATGGCTTGAATCTTCACTTTTCTAAGTTGTTTAAAGGTGACCTATCATGCAAAATGCACTTTTGTACGTCTTTTATAGATGAATATGTGTCCCCGGTGTTCCAGGGAACTCACCAAGAGGCGAAAACAAAACCCTCTCTATTTTCCTCAGACCAAATCTATTAAAGGGCGAAAAGGAATCGAACAGACGGATCCAATTTGAACCCTTTAGACGTAACAGAAGTGTCCGCTACGGCTATTGGGGC